GATCAGAGTTATCCACAGGGTTGAGTAAACTGTTGCCAGCCAGGCTAGTGCTACTTTCAGCCCCCAACTCTGCAGGTAGAACTATTAGCATTTACCGCAATCAAAAAAGCTGACAATACTTGTGCGTATTTCTCCTGTAGGGACAGAGTTGAAAACATTCAGAAAATACTGGCCATGGCAATGGCAGCAGTAGTTTCAGTTTGAAAACATTTCCTGAGGAAAAGTAAATGTTTTCTCATAGAACCCAACATTTTGTCTGTTAAGATGTTTCCATCAAAACATTTTATTTATACGTAAAATGTTTGAAAAGTTCATTCTGTGTAAACATGATCATCTCATGCTAACCGGGCTGTGTTGAGCGCCTCTGTCTATCCATTCATATCTGGTGTTTGTCAGTGTGTGTTTTGTGTCTGATGTTAAATGTCTTTTTTGCAGATATTGATGAATGTGTAAACAACACTATTTGTGACAGTCACGGGTTTTGTGACAATACGGCTGGCTCCTTCCGCTGCCTCTGTTATCAGGGCTTTCAGGCCCCACAGGATGGGCAAGGGTGTGTGGGTGAGTTTTTAGATTTTTTTCCCCCAGCATGTTTCCCATCTCCCTATTGAAAAGAAATCAAAGTTATCAACAAGAGGACAAATTGTAAGCAAGGTAATTTGGGCAGAATTTCATCATAATTTGATTTTTCTCAGACAATTTGGGAATCTGGAATAAGATCCTATGGCTTCTGAAATGGATAGGGACATTAAAAATACAGAAGTATAACTTTGAATTTAAATGTATATTAAAAAGACCATCTGTTTAAACTCTTAGCTGAGTATGCAGAACTGATCTGTCCCTCCTGCACAGGAAATAGAGTCTGGTGTGTGGTAAAGCTTGTCTGTCTTCAAAATGCACCTCCTTAGGCAGTGCATTTGAGGAAAAGTGTTGGCATGAGTTTCCGTTTCCAGGAATGACACCGGTAACATGATGCTTTGGATTGCGTGACTATATTTCTTCAATCTGTTCTGTGATTGACGGAGCTGGAAGGAACCTTGAATACCATCAGATGTCCTAGAATATGGTCCAGCACATGCTCATATAGGAGAAGATATTTTATATTTCATTTTCTGATCAGCTGTGATTTCTTTAAATCAAATTCATTATGAAACATATTTACAATTAGAGCAATTAAAGGGGAAAGAGAAGAAAGGTTATTAAATTCAGAACTGCACAGATAACAAAACTTTTTCTCTAAGAAAAATAGCTCTGTTCATTTCAGAACAGATGGCATTTGAAGAGTCCATAACTTTTTAGTTTGAAAATTTGCAGTTAAAGCATTAATTCATTTCCGATCCAGATTAAACCGGGAAAACAAAATCTATTTGGAGTTTGAATGATAAAAATCACTTGAATAGTAACCACTTTAAAGCTAACACTGTCATAATCGCTAGTTGCAACTCCTACTTTAGTCTCCTTTGCGGTAAAATACAAGCCATAAAAGTTGTCTGAGGTTCACTAGATACTTTGACTAAACGGGTCATGTGATCTGACCCCCACGTCTGTTTTTCAGCCTCACCTCTTCCTTCCTCACTTTTAATGTTCCAGCAGCATAAAACTGCTTAGGGTTGCTCATGTCACTGTGCAATTTTGTTGCTGTCGTTTGCTCCTTCTGCTGGGAATATCCTCCCGACCTCCCCTTCTCTGAGCCTGGATTCATCTCGCTCGTTCCTGCAGTTGGAGATTCGATGTCATCTCCCAGATACTGTCCCTGCTCCATCTCTCACTCTCAAGCTGAGTTGTGACCTCTCCTGCTGCTTCCAGAACCTTGAGCAAATTCTATTCTAGTACTCAACTTTTTTTGAAATAATCATGGGGTAAACTGCCTGCAGCCACCTTCTCTAAAACGATAAGATCCGTGTGATTGAGAACTTTTCTCTTCACTGGCTGAGCCTAATGTTTGGCCTGTTGGAGGGGCTCAGTACATTTTGTTTAACTGTTAACTATTGAGATATCAGATGTCAAACCACTGACTCCACATAGCTCCTGAGCCCCTGGCTAATGTTCATTTCTCACCAGTCAGATGAGCACACCAGACTCGTCTTAACATTCGTTTCAGCCCACAAAACATCACCCTTAGAGAACTAATATTTGTTATCATTTTAGTGAACTCAACAAATGTCCGTGTATTTATCTGTTTATTCACTCTTTCAAAACTAGTAACTGAGCACCTATTATATGCGTCTATTATGTACTTCACCACACTGGGTGTTCAGTAGAATTTAAGAGATAAATTAGCCCTGAGACAAACTTTTGGCCATGCTGTTGCCTCTACTTGGGCCTGGGCTGTACAC